AAGTAATTGAATAAATATTATAGGACTACTCTAGATATATAGATATCCTGATATAGTGTATATCACCGCCCTTCTACTTACTGCCGGCACTTATAGCAATCGTTCCGTAGTGGATCAGAAGTCTTGAGTTTTCTAGAGCATCTGGTGTTGAGACTTCTCGTTAGAAGGAAACACGATCAATTTTAGGTCAAACCACCCAACCCGATTCCAATGTTCTCAACTTTTGGGTGAACGTATCTTACCGGAACTATCTCTCGGATTGATATAAATAATAGGTACGGAGCCAGTGAGAGGGAATATGTAAATGCTTGACAAGTAAAGATATAGCGGTCATTTTAACATAAAACATAAATATACGGAGGTAAAACACTCCAGTAGCGCGACTATGCGAACGTTCAGCTTTAAGATCACGCGTACGTGCCATAAGGTGTTAGGTCACTGGAGCGTATGGGTCTTCGCTGTCGGTTTGTGTGTGTATTGTGTGTATTGTATTGTAAACCGCAACTCACTATACGCTGGAGCTGTATCTGATGCAGCTGATAGTACTGGCACATTTAATAGTAATAGTAATAATAGTGGGAAACCTTTTTGTTCCGAATACAAGCCGTGGCTGGAGAAGCCTACTGTCACGTGGGAACCCAATGGCACGTGTATGGCAGCTACTTACGAGGGACATGATACGCTACTATCACGCAGTCACACGTGTAAATGCCAGAATAGTTTAGCCAAAAAGCTGGGACTGTGTTACACGCCTGTGCCTGACGGTTGCACATTTAAGTCAGACAACCTGCTCCAGAATGCTATTAATAGTATTCTCGAGGATACCTGTGTCATAGGGGATTCGCTGGCGCGGCATCTGGCTATGGCGTTTCTACGGCGTGTGGATCGGCCGTATGAAGAAAGGGATCAGTTCTACTACCAGAGCCATGTGATGTTCCACCATCGCACGCACAAACCACTCACCTTAGACGAAGGAGAGGTCTGTTCAGAGAAAGCCAAGGCTATGAGTACAGACGAGGGGTATAAGCAACTGTGTACGAATGCTGTGGCTAAAGACGGCACATACGACTTTGAGGAGAGCATGTGCAACCCACTGGAAACGAGTTATAACAACGCCGCTGGTCAGAAGGTTGGCCTGAGAGAACTGTCGGCCAAGCACCACTGTGATTGGCAGTACCATCGCACGCTGGAACAGAACCTTTGGGTCAAGTTTCTAGAGGAGAAGAAATGCCACAGACTCGTTTATATTGGCGGCCACCATTGGTGGAAAGAACCGGGCGCTCACGAGAACTATGCCATGTTAGTATGTATCTAAGATTAGTGGAGCTTGCATGAAACGTGCGCCGGCGTGTTTGTCTTTTGAACATTTCTCAGCTAGTTGATAGGTGCTTCCTATATATATATATATATATATATATTATGTACATATATATGTATACATATATATATATATATATGTGTGTGTGTGTGTGTGTGTATGTATATC